ATGGACCTCAAAATCACAAGGGGTCATCTACTTATCATGATCAACATCTATGCCAAATATGAAGACTGTGGTCAAAGGAATCTAAAGTTATTGGGCAGACAAACTTTTTGAAGTCAAAGTCCCTGTGACCTTGACCTTTGACCTCAAAATCAATAGGGGTCATCTACTAATCATGACTAACCTCCATGCCAAACATGCAGACTGTGGGTCAAAGGAATCTTAAGTTATAGGGCGGACAAGCTTTTTGAAGTCAAGGCCCCTGTGACCTTTGACCTGGTGACCTCAAATTCAATAGGGGTCATCTACTAATCATGACTAACCTCCATGCCAAATATGAAGACTGTGGGTCAAAGGAATCTTAAGTTATTTGGCGGACAAGCTTTTGGAAGTCAAGGCCCCTGTGACCTTTGACCTGGTGACCTCAAAGTCAATAGGGGTCATCTACTAATCATGACTAAACTCAATGCCAAATATGAAGACTATGGGTCAAAGGAATCGTAAGTTATTGGGCGGACAAGCTTTTTGAAGTCAAGGCCCCTGTGACCTTGACCTTTGACCTGATGACCTCAAAATTAATAGGGTTCATCTACAAATCATGACTAACCTCCATGTCAAATATGAAGACTATGGGTCAAAGGAATCTTAAGTTAATGGGTGGACAAGCTTTTTGAAGTCAAGGCCCCTGTGACCTTGACCTTTGACCTGATGACCTCAAAATCAATAGGGGTCATCTACTAATCATGACTAACCTCCATGCCAAATATGAAGACTAAGGGTAAAAGATATTTTAAGTTATTGGGCGGACAAGAAAAACCGACGGACGGCCGGACAGCCGGACGGACAAGCTGATTCCAGTATACCCCCCTTACAACTTTGTTGTGCGGGGGTATAAATACACCACCTAAATACTTAAGATATATGATTAACTTCCGAACAAGAAGCCATAGACTCCCTGTAGAAACTGGATCTTGGCATAGAATCCCATTAAATCTTAGAATTTGTACGGAATGCAACAATGGTATTGGCGATGAATTCCACTATCTTTTTGAATGTTCTTTTTTGTTAGGCACTCGTAAGCGCTTGTTAAAAGCAAAATATTACAACAGACCGAATATCATTATTTATAAAGAATTAATGGAAAACAAGTGTTTAAAAAAAGTGGAATATAGAAAATTGTGTGAATTGGTCAAAGAAATAATTTGTTTATACAGTAACTGAAAAAAAATATTGGGTTAAACAATTTTGGTTATTCTCCCGTTGTTACTATTGGTGAGAAATATCCTGAGAAATATCATGTATTTTTTTTTCTCTCTCTTCTTTTTTTTTTTTTTTTTTCTTATTTATATTGAAATTACACACAGATTTAGCAGGTTTAAAATATATCATGCTATATGTACAATTATGTATTATTGTATTTTTTTTTTTTTTTTTTTTTTTCATTCACTGTTTTCGAGAATGACGCTATAAATTAGTATAGACACAATTATTTATTTTAACATAAATTTCTATCTTTCCAAGTGATGGCCATGAATGGCCCCCTGAAATCACTCACCTGTATATAGGCCCCCGGGCAGGGCCAATTTTAACCCACAGGCTTTTATTTGAACAAACTTGGTAGACACCCATTAAAAGATAAATATTTAAGCTCTAACTCTTTGGGGTTTTTAAAGGAAGATTTGTTAAGTTTTTACTGTACACATATAGGGAAAAATAATGACCCCCAGGTGGGGCCTATTTTGACCCCAGGGCTTTTATTGAACAAACTTGGTAGACACTCACTAGAAGATATTTCATGCTTCAAGTATCTAAACTCTAGCTCTTTTGTTTTTTTATAAGAAGATTTTTTAAGTTGTACTATACACATACAAGGAAAATCAAAGATCCCCGGGGCGGGGCCAATTTTAACTCCAGGGCCCTTATTTGACCAAACTTGGTAGACACCCATTAGAAGATGTTTCAAGCTAAATATCTTAGCTCTAGCTTTTTGGCTTTTTCAAAAGAAGACTTTTTAAGTTTTTTTTCTATATACATAAAGGTAAAAACAATGACCCACTGGCGCAGGGCCAATTTTAACCCCAGGGCTTTTATTTGATCAAACTTGGTAGACACCTACTAGAAGATGTTTCACGATTAATGTCTAAGCTCTAGCTATTTGGGTTTTTGAAAAGAAGACTTTTTAAGTTTTTACTATATATACAAATAAGGAAAATCAATGACTCCCTGGGTGGGGCCAATTTTGACCCCAGGGCTTTAATTTGAACAAACTTAGTAGACACTGACTAGATGATGTTCATGCCAAAGATTTAAGCCTTAGCTTAAGCCTTAGCTCTTTCCATTTTTTTACAAGAAGATTTTTAAGTTTTTTCTTTTGGTTTCCATGGAAACCAGAGTTCTGCATGGAATTAAATTCCTTGAACAATTTTTAAAGTTGACTACAAAAGGAACATTCCTGTGAAGGTTGGATGAAATTGGCTTAGCGGTTTATGAGAAGATGTTGTTTAAAAGTAAAAGTTTACGGTCGGACAGATGCCGGACGAAGTGTGGTCACAAAAGCCTACCATGTCACTTGGTGACAGGTGAGGTAAAAATTCACAATATTTGGGCATTTTCAAGATTATATTGGGTTGAAGATTGGGATAAAACCTGGGTTGAACAATTCACAGTCCAACACTCTACCTATTGAGCTAGCCGGACAGCTAAAGGGAAACTACTATCAATAACAATCTTTATAAATATTCAAAGTTATAAAGGGACAGAACAAAAAATTGCTTACCAAAAAATGGCAACTTGTCTGACAACTTCGCATTGTCATAATAATAAGTATTCTAAGTTTCACAATGATATTTTTCATAGTTTGAAATCATTCTATTTATCCATTCTACTGTCAATTTTTGACAATATTCTCAGTTAATAGGGGACATAACTCCATAAATATAGCTTTAATAATAAAGCCCCTTGTTTAACTTCTGCGGCTTGTAATAATAAGCAAATATGTTGATACCTTTAATAATGTTCCAAGAATGGGCTACATTAAAGTTTTAGCACCATGACAATGATGCCACTGCGATCAAAATAGCTCTACTTTTTCTTCCAAACAGACAAACTAAAAAAATTATAACAATAAAACCAACACTGCATTTCTGAAAAAATGCTTTCCTACCGCATTAATACAACACTAAATAGTACAAAACAGATGTCGATATTTTTTTTTGCTTTTATACAATTGGACTTAGCCATAATGTAGTAGTGTCTAGTGAATTTCGAAGTCAAAGTTATATTTCAGCAAGTCAAAAAAAATACAATGTGCAGATGTGTCTAATGTTCAGATACAAAGGCCATAGTACAATAACTGATTCAAAATAAAAGTATTCTTACTTGATACAAATTTTGGTATTTACACCCCTTATTTTGTATCACATCAATATTATTACTTCAGACCTACCATCATGTGAGTTGACTTACCAGTGTTTTATCATACAGGCCATGACTTGTTAACATCATATTGAGTTTTCTATCAGAATAAGTTCTAGCATCTCTGTTAAACTGTTTGCTACCCGTCCATCCAACCAATGCATAGTAATATTGACTGAAAACACATACACATCTTGAATAGATTGTATTACAATTGAAGTTTGAAATCTCAATAAACATAATCATATAGTACTTAAAGGCCCACTATGGCTAAGAAATGCTTTCATTTTTCAAATGCTTTTTATTTGTGGTGTACTTTTATAGATTGATTCCTAAAACTTACTTAAAGGCCAATTACCTGTACAATATTTTGCTTCTGTTGCTTGCAATAAGAACTGTCACAGTGATTTAGTTTTTGTATGGCAGTCAAAAATTTACATTTATGACACAAAGTACAAACCTGTATGGCGCTACAATCAGGTCAACCCTCCTCGCAATCCAGTCTCTTTCCCCTTCAGCAAGTTCAGCCGGAGTTTGGTCATGTGACCTTTCACCTTGTACCGACCTTAACTCTGAAACATCTACACTTTCTTCTAAAGATGCCACCTGCTCATTTCTTACTTCGTCAAGAGAAACATCATTTTCTAAATTTTCTTCATTTTCTAAATTCATCACATTACATGCATTTTCGCTAGCCCCATTCCTTGAATAAATTACTGAAGTAGAATGTGTTATAGTGCCATAATCTTTTTCACTTACATCTGTATTTTCATTAACTAGCCTATTAGCTCTGTTACCTAGTTTTCTAGATTTATCAGTCACTGGACCTTCATTAACATTACGAACTACACCATTTCTATCACTATCAGAGAATGCTTTTATTTTCTTCGGAACTTTTATGATACCAATCCACTTCTCAAAGTGGTCCAACTGTCCTCTTGTGCTGAGTTTAGTATTTAGTGATATCACATCATCGGTGTATGTGCTACGTTCATGGCGACCGTGAAGAATCGTGTCCGTGGCTTCCAGACTGTGTAACAGTCTTGATAATACTCCGGTTACCTTGTCTTCTGTTGGATGGGTGATTAGTATATCTACATCATGTCCACTGGCTTTACCTCTGGCAGGAATAAATGTTAACATATCATTATTTATTTATGGCAGGAATAAATGTTAACATATCATTATTTATTTATGGCAGGAATAAATGTTAACATATCATTATTTATTTATGGCAGGAATAAATGTTAACATATCATTATTTTTTTCTGGCAGGATAGAAGTTAACATGACATATCATTCTTTATTATTGGCAGGAATAAATGTTAACATAACATATCATTATTTATCTATGGCAGGCATAAATGTTAGCATATCATTATTTATTTTTGGCAGGAATAAATGTTAGCATATGATTATTTATTTTTGGCAGGAATAAATGTTAGCATATGATTATTTGTTTCTAACAGGAATAAATGTTAGCATATGATTATTTGTTTCTAACAGGAATAAATGTTAGCATAATTATGATTATTTACTTCTGGCAGGAATAAATTTTAAATTTTAGTTGCTGTCATTAAATCAAAGTTGCTTGATGAATCTGACAGGGTGTCATTATATCAATCAAGATGCAATAAATAGATATATATCTCAAGGTACAGTTAATTAAGATAAGGTAGTTGTAGACAGAATGCCTTTATAAACAGAGAGTCACTAATGCATTAAACACAGATTAAGTTTTCAAAAGTGTAAATATATACCTTATATGCAAAACTTTAAAAAAGGAACAACTTTGTGTAACTTTTTTACAGATCAAGGGATTTGAAATTACTTGGCACAATAATAAAACATTTCATGCACAACACCTGGACCCCTACCTTCAAGGTCAAAGCCATACCTTGAGGTCAAAGCTTAACATGGTCTGCTATAGGTTGTACTTTGCATACGGTCGTTAATATTTTCATTGTTCAAGGGATTTTGAAATTACTTGGCACACATATCAAAAGATTTTGCACTGAAAGTCCAGATCCATACCTCAATCTTTTGAAATAGCACAATTATTTTTACTGTTCATGTAAAACTTTCCTTATGCAAAGGCTGTTGGTAGCTCTGTTAAAAAATTTTGTTTTATAAGTTTAAAGATTTTCAACAACTTATATGATCAAATATTAAATTAATGCTTTTAAGCTTATACAACCCTAGCTGCCAGATAAGGAATATATATAACTGTTTATACACAGCCATATAACATGTCAAAAATAATTATTAACAAAATTCATAACATACATTGTAGCACAAGTACTTTACTTTAAATGAAAATTACTTATTAATTACTTTAATTACTTAATTGACAGCAGGCGTGGTAGTTTTCATTTCAAATCATGGTGGTAAGCCACATTAAAGTTACCAGAGCACAGAACAACCACCATATCATTCCTAGGCAGACTGTCAAGCAGTTTACCAGTACTAGTTGCCTTCACTTCCGCAAGAAACTAAAACCTCTGTACATGCCAGAGCAGAGGTACAGTGCGAATGACCGTAGAAAAGATTTCATGATCAATCACAAAGAAAGTGACCTTTGCAGTCACCATCCGGGAATCAAACCGGGTTAATTGACAGCAGCCATGCATATAGATTATATTCTACATAATAATTATCCAATGAAAATCAATGTTACAAACATATTCTACATAATGATTATCCAATGAAAATCAATGTTACAAACATATTATACATAATGATTATCCAATGAATATCAATGTTACAAACATATTCTACATAATAATTATCCAATGAAAATCAATGTTACAAACATATTATACATAACGGTTATCCAATGAAAATCAATGTTACAAAACCTCCTGAATCCTCCAGTGACTGTTGCTATGGCCCCTGGGAGAACTTTTCTCAGATGTTTGAGGACAAGTTCATAGATATAACAAGCTTCCTGCCTTACAACAGGTGTTATAAGATCCTCATGGAAAGCAAGACCTGTGATAAATATAAATTTCATATGTTTTAGCACTAGTCCTTTACTTTTTATTAAACTTTTTTATATGAATTGCATGTAAGAATATCCCGGTGTAACCTAAATTCAGCGATATAAGAACAAATGTCAATGGCATTTTCAATAAACTACAGTAATCTATAACAAATATGGCTGATGTAAAATCTTACGACGATCTCAAAACATCACCTAAATTCGTCGATTCTGATTGGTTGCTGTAAATTTTTAATTTTGGAGGGATTGTGACTTAGTATGTTGACCTAGATCAGTTGTAAAAATAGTAAGATAACAGATGGAGACTGTCAAATCATTTTAGCAACATTATCAATCAAATAGAGGAAAGTATAGATAATCTTGAAATTGCATCAAGTAAAACACACAATTTCTTCCATGTCATACACAATTTTTAACGTTTACCAGCCGTATCTCCATCTTTAGTGCAGGAAATCACTCGAATTGTAAAAATACAATGTGGGACATAAATATGATTGACCTTCACCTCTGAAATCTCACGTGAATGACGAAAAACAAAACATTGCCGAATTTAGGAGAACGCCGAATTTGGGTCACTGTAGGATATTTTCTAATTTCACCTACACAATGCAGAAAACCATAACATTACCTTAAGCAGAAGAAAAAGTTGTTTTTACTAACATGTTAATTAAATTAATGATTTCAAAGGAAATAAAAATTCAGAAATATCTGACCCCATTGTACTCTCCAATCAGCTGTCTTATGACCATTCCTGACCTCGTTCATTGTACTCCAGCCTTTAGCTATGAATTGTTTGGCAGTTGATGGTCCAATACCAAATATTTCTGTGAACAGCTATTTAAAAGGTAACATATATTTATATTCAATAATTCAATTTTCCAATTTTACTAATTTCAGTTATAATACGATCATTTTAAAGGTGTACATACCAAATATAATATACAAATATTACATTTAATAGATTTAGATCTATTGATTAGTAATAGAAGAAAATATTTGGGAAAAAAAAAAACAACAACAAAAAAACAAACAAAAAAACCCCAAACAATCTAGACCCCAAATTTACAATTTTTTGTAAACATTTACACGATTGCTAAAAATCAAAACGATTCCCTTTAAACAGAGGTATTTCTATGTTCTATACTATACCCTGTATCTGAGTTGCCAAATGATGACTTACTTTCTATTTTTAATACATTTATAAATAATGTTTATGGCTCATCACGTAGGAGTTGGCATAATTTTTTTGCACTGTATCCCCATTTTGCTCTTTTGTAAGATCAAAGGAAAATCCAATTTACCAACCTAGTATATAGTCACAAATGATTATTGCACGATAATGCTGCATGGAGAATTGTAATCACCCTTATTCCGGGCTGCTGACTATCATTGGCCAATATGTCAGTCTTTTATCATCTTTTACATGTATCATACCTAACCATGTCATCTAAATTTTCACAATTTTATTAATGATTATATGAGCTGCACCATAACAAAACCAACATAGTGCGTTTACGACCAGCATGGATCCAGACCAGCCTGCGCATCCACACACTCTGATCAGGATTCATGCTGTTCGCTATCAATTATTCTACTTGTTTAAGGGTTTGGAAGCAAACAGCATGGATCCTGGTCAGACTGCGCGAATGTGCAGGCTGGTTTGGATCCAAGCTGGTCGCAAACGCACTATGTTGGTTTTGTCATGGCACGGCTCATATAAATTATTCAAGAATTTACCTTCATTTTATGAAACCATGGATCCTTCAAAATATTTTCAACTTCTGGACACTCTCCATCTTCTAGTATTTCCTAATAATTACAAACAATAATTGCCTAATAATTACAAACAATAATTGCCTAATAATTACAAACAATAATTGCCTAATAATTACAAACAATAACTGCCTAACAAATGTAATTACAGATAAAAATTTAAACATTATTACTAACGAGAATTACCTAACAATTACAAACAAAAACTGCCTAAATATTACAACAAGTAGTTATTGAGGCATAGCAACATACATCTAATGGCAAATAAAAAGAAGTTTTTACAGAAAAAAATATGTATACAAGACAACTCACTGCAAAAACTAATAATTAAACAGCAAATTTGCTTTAAAGTGTATAAAGCTATAATTATATAAGATGCAAAAATTATTGTTTGAATTTTAAAAAAGTATACTTCCAAACTGTTTGTATGAAATAAATATGGTAATTTCTTGCCTCAAAAAGCAAATGTGGCATGCAAATAATCATTGCTAAATGGATAAAACCCTATTTAAAATAGCAAAATAATATTTTGTTCTAGAACATTGTATCTCTTTACATACATTATTCATGTGTATTAAATAACAGAGAAATTCTATATTACAACTTTTTCGGGAATCAACCATATAATCATGGAACCAATACAATTTTACAGGTAATAAATTTTATAAGAATATTTCGTAAGATATAGATTTAGATAACTGGATGTGTAAGAAGCTCAAGTTTCAGACTGGATTCCAACCCACAGGTAAACAGTTCAAATAGGTTTTCATCATCAGCCTTAAACAGCAACTGAGGTCACCCTTATATAACATAGTATAAAATGAAATGAATGATAGATTTGTTTGTACCTGTACTACTCGTTTACTATGGTCTCCAATATTTGTGATATTGCGTAACTGTTGTATACTAGATAAAGCAAAAGGTAACGACTTCAACACACATGATGCTCTCCTGAAAAAGTACACATATGTACATGTATATTGTATAATGTGTATTTACCACTATTGGTGGCCTTGCTATACGATGCATCGTTGTAAAAGTGCTTAAAATAATAAATGTATTGTAAAATTATGATTTTTTGGTAAAAAATTATGTTTTGAATTTTTTGATTGGGAATTTTTGTACATCGGGAAATTAGATCCCAGTGCAGGATATCGGTGGACATGACCAAAAATTGGGGGATTTTGTCCATTTGACACATATATTTTTATATATCCCAAGTAAAATTTTCGAAATATGTCACATCGATTTATTATTTGTTTACAATTGTATAAACATGTGAATTATATTTATCACATAAACCCGTGGCACAGAAGTTTATATTATACACATTAAATAAAAACAGTATTACAGCACTGCAGAACCACTTTAACATGAGGTAATTTGCATTATAGACAAACATAGCATTAAGTGTGGTTATATTAGCATTACACTATAGCCACTGTTAACCGCAAAATACAAAAAATTTAGCCACTAACAGTGTAGATCCCTGGTCTGAGTGCACAGAAGTGCAGGCTGGCCTGGCTCTATACCGGTGATAATTTGATTAAGACTTATCATTTTCAATTCCAGGAGGTTACAGGTTTAAACCTAAGTTACATAATTGCCTCACCTGAAGGCTAGCGCCCTGGAATAATCATGGTCACTTTCACGCAAGTCAGCATACTTCTCCAACACTTCTAATGCTTTCTGTAAGATAAGATTGGTAGTATGGCAACAATACTTTATATAATGTCTAAATTTATTTTAACCTTAGTATATAATAATCATTATCACATTACAGTAGTCTAATTGCATATAAAATTATAACTTTCTTTATATAAAGATTAAGTTATTTTCAGGAAGGTCGTAGAAGTTTTAAACATCATAAAGAATACACAATTATGAACCTTGACCAACAAATATCTAAACAAGAGGGCCATGATGGCCCTGAGTCGCTCACCAGAAACAACTGCTTTTCAGTGTTAGAATGTCAATATATTCTAATATTAAATTTGAGCATAGAATATGTTTAAACAATAATTTGAAAAAATGCAATGACCTGGGGTATTTATGCTTTAGCTTAAACCAAGCTATTCAAATTAATATAAGCATAATAATATAACTTGATAAAAGACTACCTAAGAATGCTACAAAGTTTGGTGATCACCTTTCAATTATTTCAGTAGGAAATGATGTTCGAAGGTTTTTTTATTTTTAGCTTTAGTGGCCCCTAAAAGTGGCTAATCAAATAAATATAAGTAAACTTGATAAAAGAGTACTCAAGAATGCTACAGACAAACTTTGGTGATCATCCATCAATTGGTTCTGAAGTAGAAGATATTTAAAGGTTTTTCTATTTACAGCTTTAGCTAAACGTATTTCTATTTTTAATTTTAGCGGCGCCTAAAAGGGGCCAATCAAATATATATGAGCAAACTTAATAAAAGACACCCCAATAATGCTACAGACAAAGTTTGGTGATCATCCATCAATTAGTTCTGTAGCAATAAATGTTTAAATGTTTATCTATTTTTAATTTTAGCGGCCCCTAAAAGGGGCCAATCAAAATAATATGAGCAAACTTGATAAAAGACTACCCAACAATGCTTTAGACAAAGTTTGGTGATCATCCATCCATTGGTTCAGTAGAAATAGACATTTCAATGTATTTCTTTTTTTAGCTTAAGCAGCCCCTAAAAGGGGCTAATCAAATTAATATGAGCAAACTTGATAAAAGACTACCCAAGAATGCTACAGACAAAGTTAGGTGATCATCCATCAATTAGTTCCATCCATTAGAAATAGACATTTAACTGTATTTCTATTTTTAGCTTTTGCGGCCCCTAAAAGGGGCCAATCAAATTAATATAAGCAAACTTGATTAAACACTACCTGAGCATGCTACCTACTTAGTTTGGTGATCATCCATCAGTTAGTTCTATAGGAGAAGATGTTTTAAGGTTTTTCTATTTTTAGCCCTAGAGACCCCTAAAAGGGGCCAATCAAAAAAATATTAGCAAAGTTGATAAAACACTACCAAAGAATGCTACAGACAAAGGTTGGTGATCATCCATCCATTAGTTCTGTAGATGAAGATGTTTAAAGGTTTTTCTATTTTTTTAGCTCTGCTGACCCCTAAAAGGGGCCAATCAAATTAATATGAGCAAACTTGTTAAGACACTACCCAAGAAGGCTACAGACAAAGTTTGGTGATCATCCATCCATTAGTTCTGTAGAAGAAGATGTTTAAAGGATTTTCTATTTTTAGCTCTGCTGACCCCTAAAATGGGCCAATTGGAATGACATGAGCAAATTCAAGTGTGACTGTCACAAGGATGCTACAGACGTTAATCTGCCCAGTAGTTTCAGAGAAGAAGACGATTGTTGACGCATGACAACGGACGCCGGAGCATCCCCCTTTGATACTAATAGCTCACCCTGAGCCTTCGGCTCTGGTGAGCTAAAAATAAAAGAAAAATGAAATTTAAAGTTTAAATTTTTGCAAAATGAAAACAGGAGCTCATGACAAATGGATAACACTCTTACCTATTCTCAGTTCTTGACAGTAACACAAGTTTTATGCAGGATTTTTCTAATCTTTAATGGGTATAATTCAGTGAAAACCCATACTTGAGTAAAAGTACAATAAACCAAATGCCCTTCTTCCATAATTTAATGCAAAACAATTTTATTGTTTTGAACCTTGATAGGTGACCAATTATTGTGATCCTGAAAACATGTAATTTTTCAAATGAATACCTTCAGTGGTTTTGAGAAGGAACTTTTAAAGCAAATTATTAACCAATTCTCTATGGTACAAAACAGTTATATTTTGAGATGGGAGCAATTGTGTTTTTTTTTAACTTTTATAATGAAATTTTTCACATAACAAATACTTACTGTGTACTTTTCATTCATATGCTGTAATGGAGTGGCTCTTTGACAGGCATATTCTGGTAAACCTGATGACTGGCTTGGTCTTTGAACCTGAAATCACCAATTCTACCACTGAATTATCATAGATGAAATTTTTTTTATCCTCCGCCGAAAATTTTGGCGGAGGATATAGTAATAGTCTCCGTGCGTCCGTGCGTCCGTCCGTGCGTCCGTCCGTCCGAAATTTTTGTCCGGAGCATATCTCTAAAAGTATTTGAGTTATCAACTTGAAACTTCATAGGTAGATAGACCTCATTGAGGAGGAGTGCAGTGCACAAGAATGATAACTCTACCTTGCATGATTTTTGAGTTATTGCCCTTTGTTATTTTTCAAAATTGATTTTTGTCCAGAGCATAACTCCAAAAGCCTATGAGATATTAACATGAAACTTCATAGGTGCATAGATCTCACTCAGGAGGTGTGCAAAGCACAAGAATGATAACTCTTCCTATCATAATTTTTGAGTTATTGCCCTTTGTTATTTTTCATACCTAATTTTTCACCTGAGTGGAGCATAACTCAAAAAGTGTTTGAGATATCAACATGAAATGTCATAGAAGGATAGATCTTATTGAGGAGAAATGTTGTGCCCAAGAATGACAACTCTTCCCTATACAATTTTTGAGTTATTGCCCTTTGTTGTTTTTTACATGCTATTTTGTCCGGAGCTTATCTGAAAAAGTATTTGAGGTATCATCTTGAAACTTCATAGGTGGATGGATCTCATTGAGGAGGAATGCAGTGCTAAAGAATGATAACTCTGCCCTGCATTATTTTTGAGTTATTGCCCTTTGTTATTTTTCAAAATTAATTTTGTCCAGAGCATAACTCAAAAAGCCTTTGAGATATGAAAATGAAACTTCACAGGTGCATAGATCTCACTCAGGAGGTGTGCACTGCACAAGAATGATAACTGTACCTTTTATAATTTTTGAGTTATTGCCCTTTGTTATTTTTCATACTTAATTTTTCAATTCAATTTTTTTCTCAAAAAGTATTTGAGGTATCAACTTGAAACTTCATAGGTGGATAGATTTTACTGAGGAGGGATGCAGCACACAAGGATGATAACCTACCCTGCATTATTTTTCAGTTATTGCCCTTTGTTATTTTCAGCCATCAGTATTCAAATAGGTTTCAAATCTTTAATCACTAAAGCCATCAGTTTTCATTACCAAAAGACCTCTTAAAATGGAATTATTCTGCTCTACTACATATACATTCTTCCAATGAGCAAACACATTCGGCGGGGGATGGCCATGTTGACATGGCTCTTGTTTCATGCTGATACACAACTTCATTAATTGTACAGTTCATTTTCCTATATGTGTAGCAAATTTCCATCATAACAATTAAATGCTACAATAAAAATTCTAGAAATTTTCATTATCAAAGCATTTTCAAGTCCTTAAAATTTTGGTAACAAAGGGATAAATTAAACTGTATTTTTGATAAAGCAACTATGTGTCCTTTTGCACTGCTTTAAATTCAAATTATAATTCAGACATTATACAAGTAATGCAAGTCATTTATCTTGTATCTTATGTTTTAAGAACAAGTATTTAAAGTCATGTATCTTGTATCTTAAGTTTTAAGAACAAGTATTTCAAGTCATGTATCTTGTATCTCAAGTTTTAAGAACAAGTATTTCAAGTCATTTATCTCGTATCTTAAGTTTTCAGAACAAGTATTTCAAGTTACTTATCTTGCATCTTATGTTTTAAGAACAAGTATTTAAAGTTATTTATCTTGTATCTTAAGTTTTAAGAACAAGTAATTCAAGTTATTTACCTTGTATCTTAAGTTTTAAGAACAAATATTTCAAGTTACTTATCTTGTATTTTATGTTTTAAGAACAAGTATTTCAAGTTTCTTATCTTGTATCTTATGTTTTAAGAACAATTTTTCAAGTTATTTATCTTGTATCTTAAGTTTTAAGAACAAGTATTTCAAGTTACTTATCTTGTATCTTATGTTTTAAGAACAAGTATTTCAAAGTATTTATCTTGTATCTTAAGTTTTAAGAACATGTATTTCTAGTCATTTATCTTGTATCTTAAGTTTTAAGAACAAGTATTTCAAGTTATTTATCTTGTATCTTAAGTTTTAAGAACAAGTATTTCAAGTTATTTATTTTGAATCTTAAGTTTTAAGAACAAGTATTTCAAGTCATTTATCTTGTATCTTAAGTTTTCAGAACAAGTATTTCAAGTTACTTATCTTGCATCTTATGTTTTAAGGTTACTTATCTTGTATCTTAAGTTTTAAGAACAATTTTTCAAGTTATTTATCTTGTATCTTAAGTTTTAAGAACAAGTATTTCAAGTTACTTATCTTGTTTCTTATGTTTTAAGAACAAGTATTTCAAAGTATTTATCTTGTATCTTAAGTTTTAAGAACATATATTTCAAGTCATTTATCTTGTATCTTAAGTTTTAAGAACAAGTATTTCAAGTTATTTATCTTGTATCTTAAGTTTTAAGAATAAGTATTTCAAGTTATTTATTTTGAATCTTAAGTTTTAAGAACTATCAGGGCTCTCTTTCTGTTATGGGGTTTTAAGGGGAAAATTCATGTCTGTTACAGTTGAAAGGCAAATTTCGGACAAATTTTGCCATATTATATAGATCTAGACTATACACAAGCTCTATTAAAATAAACATGTAGAAAAATACTTCCTGTCTAGAAGTTTTGTTAAATACAGGTTAAACTGCGATGACATTCACCAGACAAACATTTCGATTTCAATTAGCTATTACTTTTAATGTCTCTAGGAGAAAATGGCTTGCAAATGGGGGAACAAAAGTTTAAAATACTTTTTCGCAAGGGATATGTTGCCCAATAATGGCTTTAAAAATAGGAGATTGAGACCTTTGACTATCATAAACAATTAATACAAACCTCTTCATTTCTTTGAGTTACAGCCCTCTGTAGTCTGTGTTTTTGTTCCACATCAACCACTTTCCCAGCTCTTATACAGTCAGCAAACCATTGCAATGTAACAACTTCTATGCCATCAAGACTGGACTGATTTGTTAGATCCAGTTTCCTTAGAACTTGATCATACTCCTTAAACTCAGTTACAAGGTGAGTAACTCCTATGCTGTGAATTAAATGTAAATTTTGATGCTTAAAAGAGTTACCTCATAGATGAAAACTAAATACATAAGAATAAAAAAAAACATGTTGAAGTCAAACTGATCAGTCATCGCAATAATACAACAAGATATTTTTGGACTGGTGATGTCGTTTATAGGACCATTCATGCCAAATTAATTACATGTAGGTGAGCATGATGTAACCTGGTAACAACAATCAATCAACTAATTAATTACATGAACATGTAGGTGAGCATGATGTAACCTGGTAACAACAATCAATCAACTAATTAATTACATGAACATGTAGGTGAGCATGATGTAACCTGGTAACAACAATCAATCAATCATGTTGCACCAAGTTGTGTGGCAGCATTTCTGAGTGGTAAACATGTCAGACTAGTATTCTAAGGATTGCTAGACACAAAATTAGTCAGGGGCCAGCAGTTGTTTCCTTTGTGCAAGAAACTTTACACTCATTGCTTTGCACTTGTTGTTATTAACGTACTATATATCTAAATGGTTCAAGAGATCAAAAGATAATGAATACATGTAATTAATTAAAGAATTAAAGTGTCATAATTGTTTAATTGTAATTAAATTAATTGTTCTTAATTAATTAAATTAATTGCCTGTACTATATAGTAGGGCAGAAACGACTCACGGAAAAGGGCCGAAACGTCCAGGGGCTGATTTTTCCACTGGGGCCGATTTGGTTTGGGGCCGAAATGTCCTGATTGCATTCAAACTTACAAACACATTCCCAGTATATAGATCTAGCTAATTCTACACTGTACGTTCAACAATATTGCTATATTCGATTAGATAGTGATTAGTCCAACTAATTAGACTTGACAAAAGGACATCAAGATAATTTTTGACAGGCAATGTCTTTTTCGTTTGACAGTATGAAAAATCACAGGAACTTGAAATTCTATCACTATTAACGATAATATGCAAAATATACCCCCTATATACTATAAAAAAAACACAAGGAATGAAACGCCTTTTCCCCACCCCAACATAATTTACGCCGAACAAATCAACAAAACAACGGATCAAAATTATCTATCTGGCCATTTCGATAAACAATACATAAATGCATCAAATACCACCGATAACTTTTTTAATTTTGTAGCTATTGTAGTAAGCAAGTCTACAAGATATAATAAGCCACGCCTTTAATATCAAATATCGTTATTGTTACTGTGTGTATGTTTACTTGATGTTTGGGAGTTTATGAGTGTATACTTGGATGCAACACATATAATAAAATATATAAACCATCCTTCGGGTCTTGTTTAGTTTGTGTGCTAGTAAGCCATCCAAATAGAAAATATAAATGTTACATTGGCGACGAGGATCGGATACTAAAAAAAACAAACAAACTGCGGATTAATTTAAACTGACTCTGTGAAAAAAAAACAGATTTGAAATTTGAAAATGGATAATTTACCTGCTTTTCCGAAATTCGATGTTTTTGCTGATGAAAATTCTCTGGGAGTACGATGGGAAAAGTATTTGGATAAATTAGAAAACTTATTTGTTGGACTGGGTATAAACACTAGAAAACGAAAAAAAGCACTGTTACTTCATTATGCAGGAGATGATGTTTACGATATCTATGATACATTGAATTTAAGAGAAGACAATGAAAACTACGAAGAAACGAAAATTGGATTAACAGCATACTTTAAGCCAAGAAAAAACACACAATTTGAAATATTCGAATTTCGTAATATGAAGCAATTGCATGGGGAATCTATCGACCAGTTTACAACAAGATTACGCCAGAAAGCTAAGAATTGTGAATTTTCGGACATTGACTCAGAAATTAAAAGCCAGATCATACAGGGTGTTATTTCACAAAACATGAGAATGCAGTGTTTACAAGATCCGGATAAATCACTTAATGACTTACTTACAAAAATGAGAACCATGGAAATATCAAAAACTCAAGCAGCAAATATGTCAAAGGATACAAGTAGTCAGCAAGTAGTGCGGGTAAAAAGCAATCCTCGATTTAGCCGTCAATCAAAGGGATTCGCACCTAAACGTTATCAGCAACGTTCATATCAAACTATCCCAGAAGCAAGTTTGTCGTCGGGAAGGCGAAACTACCCTCCAGAACGAAATAAAAAATGCCGAAATTGTGGAGGAAGGTATCCCCATATGTCACGTTGTCCTGCTATCGGAGCGGAATGTAATTACTGTCATAAGAAGAATCATTTTATATCGGTCTGCAGAAAACGTCAAAACAAGGTGAAGTTAATCGATGATGAACAGTCGGATTCACAAGTTTTATCAGAGGCAAGCACGTCGAGTGTTAGTTCAAATGAGTGCGATGTTTTATTTGGATTTAAAATATCAGATGGAAAAAAAGTGCCAAAGAAATGCATTAAATTAAATGGAGTAGATGTTTATGTGTTGATAGATAGCGGTTCATCGTTAAATATTATTAGCGAAATCGACCTCGAGAAAATGAAAATCCGTCCAGAAATTAAGAAAACGAAAACAAAAGCATTCGCATTTGGACAGAAATCTCCACTTCCATTCATAGGCAAATGTTCCCTGCTTGTGGAGTCGGACTCAAAATTTATGACAAAAGATTTCCATATCGTTAAAGGTAACAAAGAATCATTGATCAGTTATGAATTATCGGTAGAGCTCGGGATTTTACCGCAAATACAATCAGTTCATAAATCAGTTCAAAGCAAAGACGCATATTCAGGACTTCTTGAAGAATATTCTCAAGTTTTCACAGGCTTAGGATGTCTGAAAGACAGAAAAGTTAAGTTTCATATTGATGAGAGTGTTGTACCTGTAGCTCAACCGGCTAGGAGAGTTCCATTTCATGTACGTTCGCAAGTCGAAAAGGAACTGAAAAGTTTAGAGGAAATGGATGTTATTGAAAAGGTTATAGGTTTACCGACACCATGGGTTTCGAACTTAGTAGCGGCTCCGAAACCTAATGCTCCGCATGAAGTGAGAGTGTGCGTAGATATGAGAAAAGCTAACACCGCAATCAAAACAGAGAAAAATGTTTGCCCGACGGTGGATGATATCATCTTGACGTTAAACGGCGCAACTGTATTTTCACGTCTAGATCTGTACAAAGCTTTCCATCAAATTGAATTGGATGAAGCATCACGTGTAATGACAACGTTTCAGACACATATTGGACTGTTTAGGTATAAACGTCTAAATTTCGGGGTATCCGCAGCACCGATAATTTTCCAAAACGAGCTTCGTCAAGCACTTCAAGGTCTTAAAGGCATATTGAATATTGCCGACGACATCGTATGTTTTGGTAAGACATATGAGGAACACGACGCAAATCTTCGCGCTTTACTGCAACGTCTTCAAGATCGAAACCTCACACTGAACAGCCAAAAATGTTCATTCGGACAATCTAAAATCAAGTTCTACGGATACATATTTTCCGAATCCGGAATTTCACCCGATCCTGACAAAGTAAATGCAGTGAAAAATATGGACAGACCAAAATCAATATCCGAAATCCGTTCATTTCTGGGTCTTACGAACTATTTGTCTAAGTTCATAGATGGCTATTCAAGCTTAACAGAACCATTAAGACGACTTACACATAAAGGTGTAAAATTTGAATGGACTGCCGACCAAGAAAAATCGTTCACATCATTAAAAGATACCTTAATTAGTGATAAGGTCATGACATATTTCGATCCTAGAAAGGAAACTGAACTATGGGTCGACGGAAGTCCAGTTGGATGCTCAGGAATACTTATTCAAAACGGCAAAATAGTATCATATGGAAGCAAAGCATACAATTCGGTTCAGACGCGGTATTCTCAAACAGAAAGAGAAGCTTTGAGTGCTGTCATCATGATTCAGCATTTCCATTTCTATTTATTCGGCAAGAAATTTAAACTGATAACAGATCATGCTGCACTTCAATCAATCTTCAACAATATCAAGACAATACAGTCACCAAGATTAGAACGTTGGCGTTTGAAGTTGACAACGTATGATTTTCAGACAGTTTATAGACCAGGTAAAATGATGATATCAGATTATCTTTCCAGGCATCCACATGCAAGACACGAAACAAATACAGTAGCCGAGCAATATATCAGCTTTATTACTGATAACGCTTTGCCAGATGCATTGAAGCTGTCAGATGTAGCAAAAGCTACCGAAACGGACTGTATATTAAGCTGTGTAAGAAATGCGTTAGAACAAAATGACTGGAAAACTCAAAAATGCAAATTAGATGAAAATTTTCGGTTATACGAGAATTTGAATAAAAATCAAGAACTTGCAGTTGCATATACGGAAGATGGATTTGTGCTTTTACGGGGTACAAAACTTTGCATACCAGGAAGACTGCAAAAACAAACTGTTATGCTTTCGCATGAAGGTCACCAAGGCCAATCAAAATGCAAAGGATTATTACGTGAGTATTGCTGGTTTCCACATATGGATAGAATGGTGGAAGAAATTTGTAGATCATGCATTGTATGCCAAGCTGCATCAACAAGAATTATTCCAGACCCGATCAAATCAACATCACTACCACGAGATGTGTTTTCTGAAGTCAGTTGTGACTTTTGTGGTCCTTTTCCAGACGGTTACATGTTACTAGTTGTTATATGTGACTACAGTAGATTTCCAGTAGTTGAAAGAATCAAATCGACAGCCGCAGATACAGTCATACCGCGATTAGAGGCGATATTTTCGATATTCGGATATCCAGAGGTAGTGAAAACGGACAATGGACCTCCGTTTCAAAGTCGCGCATTCAGAGAATTTGCTGATAATTCGGGATTCAAACATAAACGAATCACTCCATTGCACCCACAGGCAAATGGAATAGTTGAGAGATTTATGGCGCCACTGCAAAAAGCAATTAAAACAGCGATAGCGTCTAGACAAGATTATAAAAGAGCGTTAAGTAGATATCTTATGAATTTTCGGAACACGCCACAAACAACTACACAAACAGCTCCTAGTGAATTAATGTTCAATCGTAAATTAAAGACAAAATTACCAAAGATGACATTTGATAACAAAGACACAAATATTCGAGACAGGGACAGTCTATCAAAAACGAAAAACAAAATATACGCTGATAAGAAACGTCGAGCTCAGCCAAATAATTTGAAACTGGGAGATCGTGTGTTATTAAAACGGGAACAACGGAATAAGTTTGAAACAGCTTTTGACCCTACCCCCGGGATAATCATCGCTATGAAAGGATCTATGCTTACAATCAAACATAAAGGAAAAGAAATCACACGGGACGTTTCCAAATTTAGATATGTTCATGGAGATCAAGAGCCGGTGCAGACGAAACCTGCAGATAATACATCTTTACCTAGAAATAGGCCGCAGAGGAAACGCCGACCGCCGAGACGTTATGAAGATTAAAAGAAAAAAAAAGAAAATGGTTTAATCTATGATACCATTTCTCGTTACAGCTATAAGGGTTAATGACTCAAATGTGTGGGCCATAATAATGCCCTAATTATATTCGCTATCATAGCAGTGTATCATTTATATCCGCTTGCTGGATTTATTAATCTTAGGAAAAAATGATAACGTATGTGAGAACATTCTGTTATTCGTGAAATTAATACTTTTGGTTTTTATTAAATTACCTTATAATTGGGTTTTGTGTGGTAGAACGGAAAAACAAATCATTCTCGAGATAACAATGCTAGTTGTTTGAACAAATGTTGTGATAATAATGTAATTTGCTTGATATTTTGTGACATTCCGAAAAATAGAAAAGATATGACAATTCACAATAACATTATATTTAACATTACTTCGTTGAAACAGATGCCTAGTACACTGATTAGAGTAAATCGCATTGGTTAATGAACTCTGCTGAAAAAGGAGAAGAGTTTATAACAATAGACTTGCTATATAGTTTATTTCATACGGAAAAATATTTCTTATTACAATATGTTTGCACATTTAAATTTAAAGTTTTGATGATTTAAGTTTATTGATTTTATTGATGAGTTCTAAACTAAAGATAGAGGAGGATGTAGTAAGCAAGTCTACAAGATATAATAAGCCACGCCTTTAATATCAAATATCGTTATTGTTACTGTGTGTATGTTTACTTGATGTTTGGGAGTTTATGAGTGTATACTTGGATGCAACACATATAATAAAATATATAAACCATCCTTCGGGTCTTGTTTAGTTTGTGTGCTAGTAAGCCATCCAAATAGAAAATATAAATGTTACAGCTATATATGAATAATTCAACATTTTCTGATTATTTCCCACGATCTGAGTTTGTCGCCGACTCCATTTCGTGACGTCACTGGATGTTGATTCGAGGAGAATAATATTTATTAAAATTATTTTTAACAAGTTCCAAAAATAACAAGTTTGTAAGTAAAATACTGTCAAACTAGAACAAATGACTGATTTATTTCTTACGACAGGGCTGAATTTATTTGCTGGGCCATATCAAATAGAGTACTCAATTTTTTTTTAAAACGAAAGTACAGTAAATATTTCAAAGATTTACCATTCTTGTTTGGGGGTCTCCCTTTCAAATGTATTTATAAAAGTAATTTATTAAAAAGGTTTTACATGAAGATGTTTAAATATATTTACATAGAATAATTTGTATAAAAGTTTTATACATACCTGTTATTTTTTGGAACTTATTAAAAATAATTTTAATAAATATTATTCTCCTCGATTCAAAATCCAGTGACGTCACGGAATGGAGTCGGCGACAAACTCAGATCGCAGGAAATAATCAGAAAATGTTGAATTATTCCTACACAGCTACGCGATTTTAAAAAGTTATCGGTAGTATTTGATGCATTTATGTATTGTTTATCGAAATGGCCAGATAGATAATTTTGATCCGTTGTTTTGTTGATTTGTGCGGCGTAAATTATGTTGGGGTGGGGAAAAGGCGTTTCATTCCTTGTGTTTTTTATAGTATATAGGGGGTATATTTTGCATATTATGATAGAATTTCAAGTTCCTGTGGAAAAATAAATGTCTTGAAAATTGGTCAAACCGTGCACGGCACGCCAAATTAATTAGTAACAAGGATTCCCTTGTATCTTAAAGATGTTTCTTAAATGTATACAATGTATACCTGCCTGTAACACTCGTAAGAGGGGTTGGCAGGACAGGACAGGACAGGACAGGACAGGAACGGGGACGGGGACGGGACGGGACGGGACGGGACAGGACAGGACAGGACAGGATAGGATAGATAGATAGGTAATGTAATGATTAACTTACTCAAATATTTATTTGTAAACACAGAAATCATTAATTTCAAATTATGTTTAGATTTGTTTTATGAATCACATCGCAATTTTCTTTTAACATGACATGAGTACAATAACTATAAACATATTTCCATGATTCGTTGATATTCTGTTTATCCGAGATCGTAATGTCCGAATTAATGTTAGGGTAACAAATAAGAAACTGGCAACGACGTACCTAAATGTGTCTGTAACTTTTATTTTTCTTTTGGATGCAGAATTTTTCATATCTTTCAAGCGTTGTTTCTGAATTTTAGCATCCAGTATGTATACCAAACTCGAGCTTTCCATTTCTGTTGATGTTGACATTTCCGCGGGAACACCGGGTGACACTAAATGCCATTAGTTTCAATGAATCCCGTCATTAAATTCCGAATAAAACATTTGTTTGACACGTGTGAGATTGTTCCTAGCGCCTACGACATTAATTGTGTCAAATGGAAAATTTTGGGAACCAGTATTCAAGTACATGTACAACTGAAGTACAGAAGACTTTTTTGTTCTACAAATAAAAGCGATTTTAGGAACTGAACAGGTTTTACTTTGTTTAATTTATAGCATATTTTAATATAAGATATAGTCTTTTAGACCATTTCTTTTATAAATTGACACTATGCCACTGCATTGGCAGTAAAAAATTGCAAGTACAGACTGTAGTCCAACTACAAACAGATAAACACTGTGAGCTGGTGAAAGGTCAAATTAAATTATTGTCAAGTGTTTAGGTCAGTCATACATTTTTTTCTGTGAATTTTTATATATTTTTAGTTCAACATGTATTATAGTATATACTGTATATATATATATATAATAAATCATGTAAAGACTCAAAGCTAGCAAATGTTATGTGACCAGTGCTTTTTAGATCTATTGATTTATTTATTGTTTTATTCTGATTTTATAGCTTAATTAATTTGGCGTGAACAGTTTGAGACCCACAAATCTATCGCTGAACGGAAGAGTGTTCCATCTCACCTAGAGCTGTCATCGATATCGACAATATCAATGTATCGTTGATATTTTTTTGTCGATCAATAATCGATACACATTTAAAAAAATCGATACTTTTGACTTATAAATTAAATGTCTAGAAATTATACAATTCACCCAAAATATATGCAGAAACAATTATTTATATCAAATGTGATGCTTTTGTTATATAGTGGAATTATTTCATAGCAATGGTGACAAAAAAATTGTCTAGAAAAAATCATGCAGTGGACAAGACACTGTACAGAACATGTTTTTGACTGAAATCATTGAAACAGGTATGAAAATGAATGACAGATAAGTGAGTATAGGATATTATATCGATATATCGGTGTATCGTTGATTTTAGTTACTTGATATCGATATAACGTTGATATGCTTTGCACTGAATCAATGACAGCTCTAATCTCACCATGTACATAGTTTTCGCAGAGCCTTTTGGATCCCGGCTCTTATACTGGAAGAAGAAGAAGACCCATTTTACAGACTTCTTTTTTCATTCTATCAGAAAGACATCACGGGTCCAAAATTATCACGATATGTCTCTTTGACAATTAAGAATTAAGTCTAATTAGTTGGACTACTGATCTTATAACATCTACTGGTATCACAGTGCATGCATTTATGTTAATAATGAATTATTTAAGACATAATGCACTTGTTATATTAATAGTTTCCAATAGACAAGTAAAAAAGCAACACCACATTAGCAATAATTGTGGATTCTGAAATACACTAACAAATGCTTTAGTTATTTGAAACAGGGTCTTCAAATTGAAAGAGCCCTAAAGCAGCTGTTTATAACAAATGGAATGTGGTATAATTATTTTTTATAGAGATGAGAATTGAATACCTTAAGCTATTGCAGCTCTTACCTGCCCTAATTTATCACTGGGCATGAATCAGTGGTTTGACCCATTTAACAGACTGTTTTTCATACTGTCAAACCACATAATGCCCATCCAAAATTATCTCTTTGACAAGTCTAATTAGTTGGACTAGCACAACTCTGGCTCCAAGTTCTTTCTGCTGAATTTATTATATACATGTATTATACATGCATCTTGAATAAAAATATGATTGATTAAACTAATGTGTTTAATCCCACAGGGTTATTTATGGATTAATTTATCAAAATTCTTAGGTTATGTTCAACCCTGCATTAGCACAGTCATGGTCAGATGGTATTAACCTCCCCTGCCCCACCCCCCAACCCCTTAAAACCATATATATTTGCACTGTGAGTTGAAAACATAACTTCAGGTTTGGGTCCGAAACAAAACAACTTCATTTTCCAGGCAGTATGGTGGAGAAACATAATTATATGAGCTGTGCCATGACAAAACCAACATAATGGGGTTGTGACCAGCATGGATCCAGACCAGCCTGCGAATCTGCGCAGTCTGATCAGGATCCATGCTGTTCGCTATCAGTTTCTCTACTTGTAATAGGGTTGTAAACAAACAGCATGGATCCTGATCAGACTGGGCGGATGCGCAGGCTGGTCAGGATCCATGCTGGTCGCAAACTCATTATGTTGGTTTTGTCATGAAGCGGCTCATATACAAATGTATTACTTAGTTTATTATCCATGTTTACCAAATTTTTTACCGCTTTTGCACTGCAATGGGGTGAGGGTAAGCATATAACAGATATGGGTTATTTTCTCATTTGATATGGACACAATTGGAATTGCATTTTCATATATTTTTTAATGAACATGTAAAAAATAAAAAAATCACTGATTATGTATTTCCCTGACTGTTACTTTCATATGACAGAAATACAGTGATTAAAAAAAATGCTTGTACATTTCTATAAACATGTACTGCACCATCATTTGCTATATGTATTGATATACACTTGAGGTTTTCAGCACATCAAAGGAGAGTTGTTAATTTAAGGATGAGAGAAAAATGCCAGCCTTCTTTATAGTTATTTCAAGTTACATCATGTATATCAAATTATACTGCCAGCTGGATGCATATAATTTGCATACTCGATTTATACATGTGTATGTTTAGTGTTTGTCATTACCCCTTCAAAGAATTTATGACATTAATGCCCAAGGTAGAAAGTCCTGGATCCACACCTGCAGATGTTATAACTTTCTCATGCAATAATCACTAACAGAGTGCATGATTTAGAAAAAGATAGCACATAATATGAGAATATAGCTTGACTTAATGTGAAAGTCATAGATCTAGTTACTAAACTTTAGTCTGATTAAGATAATATGATAAAACCTTGAGGAAAAGTAAAATTTATATGATAAGTTAACTTGTTTTAATAGACTTGAAATTTTGATAAATGAGCCGCGTCACGACAAAACCAACATAGTGCGTTTGCGACCAGCATGGATCAAGACCAGCCGGATGTGCAGTCTGATCAGGATTCATGCTGTTCGCTATCAGTTTCTCTACTTGCAATAGGGTTTTTAAGCGAACAGCATGGATCCTGATCAGACTGCGCGGATGCGCAGGCTGGTCTGGATCCATGCTGGTTGCAAACCCATTATGTTGGTTTTGTCATGGCGCGGCTCAAATGTGGATAATTTAGAGCCTTGACAGACTTCACTGTTGTACCGGCTAGCCTGGTTCTATATTTGTGTGACAAATACTTATAATCACTTTCATTCCCGGCATGTTAAGAGTTATTCACCTATTTTCAATTGACAATATAAATTATGCTTTTTTTGTCATTTTCTTGAATTGTAAAGTGAGGAGATTGGTCACTTATTAATTAAGGTGTTTGAATCTTAACCCCCGAAATATGAACTTGAGCCTCCCTTGAACCACAGTTATGGTTCCTTGTATGATGCTAATACTGATTAGTCCCGTAATGATGTGATAAACAATCTAGCTCAAAAGATGTGCCAAATCTCTTCTGTCTGGAATATGTATTTCTCCTTCACAAGAGTTGCTTCCCTTGCTTGCACTACTTCATTTGCAAATTATGGTTTCAGGGGTATTTAATTGGAAGAAAAATTGTTACCTAATACATATATAATTATTATCATATAATGATTTATAATACAGGAGTAAAGTTAAAATTACAACTAAAAATTAGGGATTGGTTTTGCAAAGGAAAATCATATTGCGATATATACCTATACAGACATATTGCATTATATTGCAATATATTGTATCTAAAATGCGTGAAAATCAAGGGAGGGTTAGAACTAGAGTACCGCAGCTTAAAGAGTTTATTGTTTTTATAATATTATGTCCCAATTAATGGTATGTCCTTCAATTAAATATTTCAAAAGGTGTTAAAAGTGATTTGGAAATGAAAAAGTTAAAACAATTTCACATAAATCCCATTTGAAGTCAAGTTATATTTCTATATTTGGTTTTTACAAAATTTATTTTACTTCGATTGTGTAGGAAGCTATAAACTTACAGACACACTTTCTAATCTGTTCCTGGAACCAACCAGTACTGAGCAATGTGTGTAAAGTTTCTTGCTCAAGGAAACAACCAATTGCTCCTGATGGGGTTTGAACTACTAGTCGGACATGTTAACCTGACTTGGCCATGCCGCCACTTCTATATTTAATGAATATTATGCTTATTATTGACATTTTATAGCTTCAATATATTTGATATCTGAAGAAAAAAATTGCGATTTAAAAAATTAATATTGCCAGATAAAATATTGCGATCCTGTACATGTGTAACATGTAAATTGCCATATATTGCACAACCCTACGTGAAATGTTATAAATAGGTCCTTTTCTCTCACATTTCATGATTTGATAGTTACTTTACATTATCATGTATGCAGACAAGTTTATCTTAAACACATCTGGCACAGCTCAATTTAGTTTTAACATTAGTTTATTTAATCTTAATTCT